CCCAATTCTGGACCTCTCAATCTTGGACCTCCCCCAAGCGACACAATGGTACATTGAATTTGGTGTATATTATCATTATCTGTTTTGTATACAACTTTCTAATACTTATATTTTTGTAGGGGAATCCTCATGCTAGAATAGTATGTGAGGTTGCAGTTAGTCAAAGTTACCGTGGATTGAAAAATAAGTGTGAACTTTGGATGAGTCAGCAGTACGTGAGATGTGTATTAGGAATAAAACTTTATGATTTGCAAACTACACGAAATACACATGGACGATTTAATCGATCAATGAAGGTATGTATCTGTTGACTATTTTATTGTAGTTTCGTAGTTGATATTCTAAAAAACTTTTTAAAATTAGGCTAAATTATGGAGACAGGGGTTACCAACCAGAAAAGTAATGTTAAACTGTTTAGAGATTCTGTTTATTTTATCTTTTCGATATTTACATGTATATGTCTAAAAAATAGTGGCATTTTGGGACAGTGCAAAAAGGTAGTAGTCAACCTACTGGATGTAATGCTCCGGGTAATCCAGCATATCAGATCAACATTCCGATAAGCGATGTGTTTTATGACCCACCTATTCCAGCTATTGGATATGTTCCACTGGTTTCTTATCCTCGTCCTGCAATTCTTGATGGTAATTTCACCATTGATCTTTACGAAATTCAGCGAGTAGTTTTGAAATGTCAGCCAAGATAATGAATATGTAATGTGTGTTAAAGTTTTTATAATAATCCTATTTGTTGACACTGCACTGCAATCTATAATACTTTGAACTTGTTTCATGTTCTTATTATTTTTTTTTGTATTTATCAATGCCCATATTAGGCTTATCTTTACTGTGCATATGCGTGTATGTGGGTGTGTGTCAGAAAAATAAAATAGAAAACATATTTAACAATGTGTGCACATGAGATTTTATTGCTTAATCATGGAGCATTTAAAGTTTTAGATTTACTTAATAAGACCCAATTCTCGAAGATGTTCTGGAACAGCTATATATGGATCTTCATAATACCAGACATATCTTAAAGCAATCCAGTTTTCTTCGCACAATTCTTTCTTGAGTTGATCCCGTGCTTGCTGTTTAATAAAATTATTGGGATCACCATTATGAAAGAATTCGATATATTTTTCATGTTGCACTCCTTGTACTTCAATTGCAAAACCATATTCAGGATAAAATATATCAAGTTCTAAACCTGTGGAATGTTCTGGTGTTTTTAAGAAATTAGGACAACGTATCTTAGATGGCGGTCCAAGATATTTAGAAACAATTTCATGACATAAATTTTCATATTTATTTCGACAAATTGGACACCAGGTATTTCGATCTTTAATAGAATTAAGTGTTGCATGCCATATATGTCCTTTAACACATTTCCATAATAGATTTGAATAGTTATTAAAATATGAGGTAGAGAGACACTCACCATTCCGACTAAATGCAATTTGCTTGGCTTGATCAATATCACAGGCGTATCGTCCAGAACAATGGGGACACCATGAATTTGCATTTTTAATACTATTAAATGTTGCATTCCATTCATACCCTTTAGAACAACGCCACAATAAAGCTGTCATGCTATTAATATATTTTTCAGAAAGACATTTCCCATTTCTATCATGCGCAATTTTTCTAGCATCTTCAAGAGTATATCGGGGTCTACCTCCTACACAATGTGGACACCATGTGTTTTTATTTTTTACACTCTCAAGACTAGCATTCCATTCATGACTTACAGCACAGCGCCATAATAATAGTGACTTACCATTAATAAATTTTTCAGAAAGACATTTTCCATTTCTAGTATGTGCGACTTTTATAGCATCTTCAAGAGTACAAGGCTTTCTATGCGAACATTTTATGCACCAATTTTTATTGTGTATAATATTATTGTAGGTTGCTGACCATTCATGACCTTTGGAACATCTCCACTGTAATAATTCCTTGGTAGCTGTACATTGGATAGAAAGACATAATCCACCTCTATCTATAGCAATCTTTCTAGCAATTTCAAGATGAAAAGAATGCCGACCTGCACAAACAGGGCACCAAGTATTCCTATATTTTATTCTATCAAGTGGAGCATCCCATTCATGATCTTTAGAACATTTCCATCTCAATGGTGTGGAAATATTAATATATGTATCTGAAAGACACAAACCATTACGAGTTCTGGCAATATTACAAGCATCATTTAAGGTTATTTTTAATCGCATTGAGATTAGCAAAGTTTTATATAAATAAATTTCTGTTCAAATTCTACACAAAAAATGAATTCAGATATCTAGAGTATATAGTTATTAAATCAAATAGGTCTAAATCCCTAAATACGATATAAATCACATATAACTTCTATAAATACTACAAATAGGTTATATAAGATAGATGGCTAGCTTAAGTGAAAGACGTGGAATCAATTGTACCGATACTGAATGGGTTGAATATTTGGAGATGAGTATTGTTTCATTGAATGAGACTCCTACTGATTGGATGGAACGGATTTGGGAACGTCTTACATATTTTAGAGAAAATGATCTCTTACCTTATAATAGTAAAAAATATCTTGAAGCCAGAAAATTAATAACATATTGGTCTGAGGTTAATGGATTTTATAAAAGCTATGCGCCTGAAATTGGTATTGCTATCTGCTTTTCTTGTAATCAATTAGTATATACTGGAAAACGAACCAAAAATACAGGCAATTACAACCATATAGGAATGGAGAGACATTGGGCTTCTCATTGTACTGGAAATTCCTTTTGTGGTGTAAATTATGATGAATATTTACTGAAAATCGAACAAAAATCTATTTCGGGATATATTTATGATAATGAGTATGCATTACACCGTTATGAATTGTGGATGCAAAATGCCGTTAGAAGAATTAAGCGTGCAAGAGAAATCGGTAGAAAAATTCGAGCATGTAGAATTATACAGAGAAAATGGTTAGAAATTTTCTTCAGACCCGAAGGTATGTGTGCTACCGAATTAGCATTACATTATCAGTTATTATGGGCGGTTCGTGAAGAAATGCGACAAATTAACAATGTATAGCTTAATTTATTATAACATATCATTTATTCGATTTAATCTATTTATTAATGTATAACTTATTCATATATATTTTAAAATAAATCACCTAAGGTATTCCTTGAGGGCTAGTACTTTAGACTTTATTTCGATACCCCCTTGAGGGCTGGTATCTTTTTTTTGTACTTCGCGGATCACAAAAGTCAGATTTTCAGGTGTGTGTATCCAGATTCCGACACGTAGTAATCATGATCATCATCACCAATGATTTGACCTCCTTCCAAAATGTAACAATCACGATCATCGTCCACAAGTGTTGACGATCGACTTCAGGGTACACTTTTGGAAATGTTGTGACTCGATATTTTATCTCAGCAATTGCTCAAATATAATCGGGAAAATTCATGCTAGATATCACTAGGGATTATGAAGAACGGGTCAAAGAAAATAAGGTCACGCAAAATAAAATCTCGAAGAAGAAGGCGCAATTACAGGTGGCAGAAGATAAGTTATTCAAGCTTAGCGGAGCTAGTTCCACTAAAAATTCCTATCATTGATTGCTTACATTGAAGTGATTTAATCTTAGAAATCTTTTTTTATTGCGCTGTTAATGATTTGATTTCTTTTTCCAAGTCTAGAGGGTTCATCCAACCGAGTCTAAGAGCCATAGGGTTGGAGATTGGTATAGTGGTATCAAAGACAATGAATTCACCATTCCGCAAATATTTATTGATGATTTTAGAAGCTTTACGTGGATCTTCCTCTATGTATTGTCTTATAATTCGTGCAATATCTTCTGTTGATCCCCCACCATTGAATAATGCGAGGTGAGTAATTCCTTCACGAATGATTTTTGGTACTTGTGTAAATTTATGTGTAATATAGATGGCAGAGATATTACTGTGCCGACCTCTGTTAAAAAATGGAATAATACGATCCTGAATTGATTGGGGTTCAGCACACATGTCCTCGAAAATAATGACTGTACGTCTTTTTGGATTTTTAAACTGCTTTGGATCTGGAATTTTATCAGGTGTAAATGCAGTAAAAGTAACATCTTCATAATACGGTTTGGAAGGATCTGCTATTTTCTTATAGAAGTTTCGAATTAATCGGTATTTGGGTTCATTAATATAGTGCCCTACTAATACAATA